GATATTGAGGAATGAGTCAGCAAATAGTGTCAGCAAGGAAATGAAAGGAAAAGGCAAAACTTGTAAGCCTGATGAGACTTGACATGATAGTGATTTTCGTGCTTACTGTTTTTCCTTATATTAACTGAATGGCTTAAGCACCAGCTATTCCTCAGTCTGTGGGCATGAGCTATTGAGAATTCACAGGGCACATCTGTAACGTGCTACTAGGGCTTTGCACCTAACAGAATACAATTATAGTCACTTTAAGTGGTATCGCAACTTCCCTGTATGTCTTATTTACTGGGAGACAATCAGCATGATATAAGCCTGGAATGCAGTGCTTCCTCTGAGGAGCTGCAGCTTTCATCTGCCAGTGATCTACCAGCACAGTGTGGGCTTCCTTGGGTAGCCTGAGCCACCTTCTCCCCTCTTACAGGGGTGGGGAGGAAAAATGTAATATCCAGGAACAGATGTGAGAACCAAGCATGAGGAAGGGTCAGTCTATCATGAACTCTGTAATTGATGTGGTTTCCTGAGTCTGATACTTCTCGACAAACCAAGACTCAAACATGAAATTGTTTAATATAAATGCAGTATTTAAAATCTTTCATCTATGGAGATGTGTTCTCCCCCAAGTTAGTCGACATTTCAAGATTCTCCCTATTGACAGTGATTTAAGAGCTGTAAAAAAAAAATAAAGCTATAAGATGCCCATTTAACTTTTTCTCTAGTCTTCAGTCTTTCTTAAAAAAAAAAAAAAAAAAAAATTGTTCATTGCCAGTTTGCAAAATGAGAGTTCTTAATAGATAAGATGGTCCTTAATTTTCTTCACTGATAATTCAAGGAAAATTCTTTCCAACTTTCTTTCCATGGCTGAACTAAGATTCATGTAACCTTGTCAGATTTTACAACAGTATGTGTGACAAAATCAATTTCAGTATCAGCAAATATTTTAAAGACAATGTGACAGTAATACTTTGTCTACCTTAGAGGACTGTTTATACTAAAATTCAGTAAGCACCTTCCTGGTTTTATATATTTAAAAAAAAAAATCCTCTTTAAGTGTTGAATCAACACCTCTTTGCCTTTTAAGTGGATATTTTATGACCACATGCTTTTCCCTCTGGTATTTGGGATGTTATTTTTATATCCCTGTTAACACAAGTTGAAAGAAGATCCATCTTCTTTGTTTATGCTTAATGTCTCCTACAATTTCAACAGGTGAATGATAAAAATCTAAGGGGAAAAGAAGTCTTGTGTGATTTGTTTTTGTTTTGTTTTGTTGGTTTTTTTTTTCTAAGAAAATAGAAACAATAATGGAATTCTACTGCAGACAGATATTTTCCTTTGGGAAAAAAAAAAATGGTGATAAGTCAGTGCTATAACTAGCCACACTCTATCTTGCTGTTGATACAGTACAGTAAAAGAACCATTTCTAACTTTGACCTGGCTAGTGTTCTTAAAACTATGTGCTGCTTTTAGTCTCTTAGAACAGCAACAACTATCTATTAAATATGTAAAGATTAAGAAAAACAACACTTGTTCTCTGACCTAATTCACTTTGGTACACTTGTTTTTGGTTTTTATTTTAAATTTTAGTGTCTTCATTAGAAGACTAAATGTCATAACCATATATCAACAGGAACTATGTTCTAAGAGTGAGCTAATGATGTGAGTCTTTAGTTCAAGTGTGTTTTTTTTCTGCCTGATAGTTTTTCTTTTGTCAGTCTTCAGATTGTCACTTCCTAACACATTCTACTTCCATTTGGGCATGCAAATCCAGAAACACTGAAGCAGTACACTAAGCGCATTGACAAATCTTAGGCAGGTTCCTACTTTAAATGTTTCAAAGCATAAGTAAGCTGTATCAGTCTCCTTACAGTATTTAATGTAGTGATAAGAGAACAAGACTAGGCTCATGTTGTGTAAAGAAGCAGAAATGCAGAAGCTTAACTAGGGAGCGTTTTTGGAGGGACTCTAGTTTTTCTAACTTAGGGCAGCAAAGCTGCTTTATTGGGAACAGGGTGACTTCTCTATGACTAAGTTCTGTATATATTATAGCCATGAATTTTATCTGATTTAATTTTACTGTACCTTATAAATGCAGAAACTTGGCCCTTCAGAAGCTGGGGTGCATCTGTACTCATACATTAATGTACACTATGTATAGGTTTTATACACATATAGATGTACATGACTTTCTGCCTTGCAGAGATAGGCTCCACTGAAGAACCATCTGAAGCCCTTTAGCAGGAGCCTTTCTTCCCCTCAGGCACACCTATGTGCAGCCCAAATGTGTAACCATAAAAGTTCTTGGCACCTATGTGGTGCTCCTCAGTTTAGAATTTCAAAGTGCTGTGTGGGGGCAGGCAGCCCTGAGCTCCCCCCCTTCTGCAGCTCACAGAAGGTCTCAAGGCTAGCTCTGGTTCTGTGTCTTTTAACCACTGAGAAATATTCTCTGAAGTACTTACTGTTTCCACCAAGAGGCAATTTGACCTCCTTGTCATCTTCAGCACTGTTCATGTGCATCAATGCAGTGTTCACGTGGCCAGTAGTGTTGCCGCTCTCCTGATCTCAAAGGGAATGGAACTGCAGGTGGACTGGCACCCTGATTACTGGATTTCCTCCTTTTTGCAGATAGGCTCCCTACTCAACAAAGCCTACCTCCACATGCACTAGAATAGATGCTAGTCTCTGAGGTACAAGAAACCAAGAGCCTATTCTCATACAGCTCCTGTTGGCAACATTAACTCTGATATTCTTAAAATTAAATATTATAGTCCAAGTCCTGTTGCTGTCATGAATACAATAACTCAAACCCTCCCTTCACCTTCAGTGAAACTTATACGCTAAGAGGAAGAACTACAACAGGAGAGAGCTAGAGAGAAGCTGTATTATGCAAAGCAAGCATGGCACATCCTAGGAAATCCAAATCCTAGAGTCAAAGAATCAGAGAATGAGTTGGGCTGGAAGGTAGCTTCAAGACCATCTACTTCTAACCCTACTGCTGCAGACTGAAACAACCCTAGTTCTCTCAGTCTGTCCTCACAGGTGAGGCGCTCCAGCCTTCTGACCATTGTTATGGTTCTTCTTTGGACTGGCTCTAACAGTTTCATTGTCCTTCATATGTTGGTGGCCTATGACCAGAGACTCCAGCTTGGGTCTCAGAGCAGAGGAGAATCACAGAATTGTCTAGGCTGGAAGAGACCTCAAGATCAAGTCCAACCTCTGACCTAACACTAACAAGTCCTCCACTAAACCATATCAGTAATCTCTACAACTAAACATCTTTTAAAGACCTCCAGGGATGGTGACTCCACTGCTTCCCTGGGCAGCCCATTTCAATGCCTAACAACCGTTTTGGTAAAGATGCTCTTCCTAATATCAAACTTAAAACACTCCTGGTGCTACTTTAGACCGTAATCATCTCCTTTGACATGATAACTACACTCCTGTAGCCATGAACTGAACCCACCTACACCTGTTACTCCTATGTTTTGATAACTTTTTCCTCATTATTTACAGATGCAACTGGAGCTTCCATGACAGGGGGGTGGCTCTGTCAGTATTAACAGATCAAACTCCATGAGTATAGCATGTCCTATAGGGCTTGCTAGAAGGACTCTGCAGGACACCCAGAGAGATATGGCCTAGCATCTTCAGGGCCTTTGGTTTTCCTGTGGCCAAGGGCAGGGAGGGTGGGTAGACAATGCCAGCCCTGAGCCATTCTTCAAATCTGTAGGCTGTCTCCTTTCTACTGGGACAATCTTTTTGCATACAGCATTACATAGTTTTGTTTATGAGCAGCAGCCTTCAGAAGTTATTAACTATCACTGTCTTCCTTTATAGTTGAGTAAACTGAGGCAGTAATGCTGTATGACCATCATAATTACAGATAAAATAGCCATAGGAGTGGATGCTGTTACTTCCTTTCCTTTACTTTATGAAGAGCTAGAAACACAGTTATTACTTGTAGTTCCAGGTTTGGAAGATTTAAGGAACAAGGTTAAAAGACTTCCCCAACGTAGACAATTTATCTGTTATAGTACATTGGTCTATCAAAGCAGTATACTTCTGAATGATGATGGTCTACGACCAAGATGGTAATAATAGAACTATCCTCTGTGTATCTGCTTGTGGCTTGCCAGCACCAGTGAGCAGGTACCCCCTTTACTGCTGTCACCTACAGTGAGAGTCTTTGTGAAAGGACTCAGCATCAAGCTCTCAGTTCTGCCTCTGTGAAAGATCCTGTGGCCAACATACAAATTCGCTTCCTTAAACAGTAGGAGGACCGAATCAATAAATAAATAAATAAAAATCCACATCGATCTTGCCTATGCTGAAGCCTGAAAGATTGTGAGAAATATAATGTGGGTTAAAACAAAAAAGAAGCATAGGGGATGTGCTTAAATGTGAATACGTTTTGAGTGACACTGCTACCTGCATAAATTTGAACTTAGCTGCTTTTCTCAGACAGTGATGGATTTCACACTGTTTGCTCCAACATGCACATATCATGTGAGAAGAACACTGAGTCAGCTTAGGTTGAACCAGGGAGAAAAAGTGTACAAAACCAATTTTATTTCACTCCAAACAACCAGAAAGAAGAAAGAAAAAAGAGAAAGGTGCAATAAAGTTTTAGCTTTGCAGAGCTCTGCTACAGGATGCATCCTCAAACTTAGACCATCTGCCCCACACAGATGTGTTGATTGATTCATCCTGGTGAGACAAACCTGTTACCTCCTGCCTGCTGCTTTCTCAGTGTCTTACATCTCCCCATGGAGAAAAAGTTAATTTGTCTTAATTAGCTCTGCACTGTTCAGCCCTGCAATGCATCAAGTCTGCCCCCAGGTTTTGCTCCTCTCTGTGCATTGCTGGTCTTAGCGTATCCAAGACTTTATAAACAATCTGCAATGAGATATACAAAACAAACTTTTTCTCTTTGTTTTTGCTGGTGAGACTTGTGTGATCTCCATCATACAAAAGGCAAAGAAATTAAAGATTTGGACTATGTCATCTTTTTTTTTTTTTTTTTTTTAATTTTAATGGGTGTGTTTTACAGGACTGTTACTGGTTGTAGGAAATGTCTGACATGACAGCTTTTATTAAGGAAATGTTATGGTTGTCAGAGTCCTACATTTCAGTATACCTTGAGGATAAAACTTTGCATTTTTCTGATATCCGAATCAATTTATCTCATGCCAGAGAGGAGAAAGAAGAGGAAAAGAACTCAGCCTTATTTGTTCTAGAAAGTTGATTTAAAAACGTCTTCTGCAATTTATTAGACATAGAAGTGAAGAGTTTTATAGATTAAATACAGAAATAATATACGTTTCTGTATATATTAATACAGAAGATAGAATTTGACAGTAATTTATCTATACACAATGACAGCTTATATTTCAGTTCCAGTATTTAGTAGTCATGGCTAGATTTTACCTATTTATCAGATATATAACACAAGATACAGACTATGACATTGATATGTATTTGTTTATGAGCAAAGATTTTCTTACTATTACTCTGTTTCTCGATTTTTAGGTACAGCAGAAATGTGGATAAATAGACAACACTTGAACTAGCTATACATGTTCTTCCTTGTCCTAACATTAAAGTGCCTACAAACCAATACAGTTATTATCCTTATATTTTTTTTTATTTACTTTTAAAAAAATCACTTTAAATCCTATGGATTTACTATTGTCCTCATTAAACAGAAGATCAGTCAGAACAGTGATATGTAAATCCTAGGAAACTCAGATAGCTTTTTGTTTCAACTTTAATACCCGACTAAGCTTAAAATTTCTCAGAAGCTTATTATTAAAAAAAAAAAAAAAAAGATAAAAGAAAAAAGCAAGACTTCCATCTCAGCAACTTGTAACTCAGCTTTAAGGCAATCCTACATCACCTTCCAGCATCGTGTCCTATGTATATCAGTGACCCTCACTCCCCCTCCCTCTTGCTCCTCTGGCACCCAGTGTCACAATGCTCCGGTGAGGAAGAAATTTTGCTGGGTTTGTTTGTTTTTTGTAAAGGCTCTTTACAGCAGAGCCAGGGGGCAGAAGGGCAGGTGTTCCAGGTGGGGTCTACGCCCGCTTGACGCTGTTGAGAAGCTCCGTCAGTTCGCTGATGTACTTGATGGTGTACTTCAGGGTCTGTATTTTGGTGAGGGGCTGGCCCCTCTGGCTGTAGGCAGGGGGCAAGTAGTTACGCAGAGTGTGTAGCGCGTCGGCCAGGGTCCTCATCCGCAGCTTCTCCCTCTCGCTGGCCTTCCTTCGGCGCTGGGCCGACATCCGCACTTTGGTGCCCTTGGGCAGCCGGGCCTGCCCGGGGCTGGGTAGGTAGGCAGGGGGGAAGTCCACCAGGCCGTATCCCACCAGGCTGCCACCACCATAGGGGGTCTCTGCTGCTGCCGGGCAAGGGGATGAGGAGTAGGACTCAAAGGATGGCGTCGGGGACAAGCTGTGTGGAGAGGAGACAGAGTGCAGCTCGAAAGCCCCGGTGGTGTTTTTCCAGTCCCAGGAAGATAAGCAGACAGAGTGCTCTGAACCCAAAGCATCTTCCATATTTATCAGCGTCTCGTGCAATTTGTCCATCCTGGAGGAGCGCGCAGGAGAAGCAATTCCCGCTGCCCGCCAGCAAAAGCTGGAGCCGCCGGCTGCCGAGACCTTTTTATGATGGAGGGAGGAAAGTGACAAAGTGGGAGCGTGGGTTTGGCAAGGGGAGTTCAAAGGAGCACCACAAGTGCTAAGATGGAAAATGAACTCCTGATGTGCTAGTTTCTTCTCAGTGATAATTATCAACCTTCAGCTAAAAAGCCTTTAAGCTAACAGGCAACAGTGAGAAAGGAGGAAAAAAAGATTATCTTCTTGCGACTAAACCAATTAAGGCTGCGCATCAACATTTAACGTTGCACTGGGGGAATAAGTGTTGGGAAAGGAAAAAGAAAATGAACAATTTTGCAAAATAGTTAGCAGATAGAGAGTTTAAAGATAGTGAGCATTAACACAGCCCCTGAATTTCAACCATTGAGCCCAGTATTCTGTGTAACTGAAAGCAACGGCACTACATCAGTGATGATTTGATTCATGCAGACTGTGGCTGAGGTAGTCTCTCGTTATAAGTGTCTTAATCATGGAAGTCAGAGATGGTTGTATTGTATTTTAGTATGTTATGGCTCTGTGGATTTCTCTTCTCATTAGATTGTCATTTCTCTCTGGATCATGTGGTTTTCAGAAGATTAAAGGAGAAAAGCAAGGCATTCCCTATAGATTGCAAATTTATTTGTCATTTTAAATCATGGGTTGAGAGGCAAAGAGGAAATTTATAATTGTAAACAAAGTCAAAGTCCTATTTAAAAAAAGTTGTATGAGGATGAAAAAATGTCTTTGAAAAAAAAAATAAATGTCTAGGAAATAAAATAAATGCAAACTTTGGTCCCAGACAAGGCTTTATATATAAATTTAATACAAACTAGTATACAGATTAGACATGAAGGGGAAGACTAAAAGCTACTTTTTAAAAATGTCCTGTCCTACCTCTAGGACTTCTGCCAATAATAATAATAATAATAATAATAATAATAATAATAATAATAATAATAATACTTAAAAAATATATTCAGTCCTTACTGAATGCAACAGTAAGAATGTAACAGTTCTATGTTAAGAATTTCAACATAAAATGCAAAACTACCATCTAAATTAATAGCATTAATAATGAGCACTTTTCATCTGCAGGCCTCAGAAGAGTTTACAGTGATGATTAATGATCTCTGTTACTCTGGGGAAATGGATAAGCATAGTCAAGGAGGATCCTGCCCAAAAACACACAACAAATCATTAGGAGAGCCAGGAAAACTATCCAAAACTATTGGGCTTTGCAGCCACTGAGCAGTTCAGCTGCCAGCCATGTCTTTGTATTGGCTCATAATGGAAGCAAAATATAATATATATTTTAAAATATAAAAGAAGGGGAGAGAGAGTGCCAACCTAAGGGAAACGGAAAAGTAGAGTAGAATTTATTTTAGAGCTTCTGTGTAATGATCTCTGTGCTCCATAATCCACTCTGAAAAATGGGGGGAAATGCCTCCAAATGGCCTGTAGCCAAAGCAAACTGGAATACACCATTTCCTTGTGATTGTGAAATCCTCACTGCAATCACTAAGAGGAAAAAAAAAAAAAATAATAAAAAGTGCATTTAAATTATGGGCCCATTCAATACTCGCTGAAATAATTTGGAATGCTTTTACGTATATTTGTTGAGTTTGGGATCAAAACACTGGGAAGTAGCTTGCAGGATACTTACTGATTTTATGCAGAGGTGAGTAAGAAGGAACCACAAAGTGAAAGGTTTCAGCATTTCAGCCTGGTGTAAGACGGTTTGACTCTGATGAAATGTACTCCATGCGGAAACTTAGGGAACAGCTTACCACAGTCAGGATTGCTTTAGGTTTTATTGTTAGCCAGTGGTGTTCTGATCTCTTATTTATTCTCTTTTTAAGGAAAATGAGTTGAAACAGTCCTTAGAATCACAAATTCCTGTTACAAATTAAAATTAAGACAAGATGAGCGACAGATACTTTCTGTGACATCAGTGAACTGAATGAGCTTCACTGAGCATCATTTTGATGGTCACCAAGTCACAAGTTAGAAACAAAATCTAATTTAGCATATGTAGGAGACTCATTCTTGTCCTAGTTAAAATCTCTCACCCACTTATTTTTCTCTTACCTTCTCAGCACTTGTATTTCATAGTGCCTTCATAGTCTGTGTATAACTGCATATAAATGTATGTGAACCATTCTTCTTCATGGTTTTTATTTTGGAATCAAATATTAAGCTCTTAAACACAGTCAAATTTGGAAGCAGAAATTTCAACAAATCACTAAACAATTCGTGCTGACAGTTAATTTATACTTTCAATCTGTGAGTAAATGATGGAAAATATTGTTTAGATACCAAAAAGAGAATTAAAAAACTGTGCTTGTCCAAGATACCATTGCTATAAGTGACTGCACACAGTCAGATTTCATCTCTATATTTTTATATGTAGGGATTTGTGATGAGATTAGATAGGGGAAAGTAATATAAATTATACTGTTATCTATTTTTTGCTTTTTTTATTATATCTTCTGGATAACTGTTTAGAGCTACTAAGGCAGGATATTAGAGTATGTAGACATCTGATCTGGTTGTATGAAAAATCTTTGTATCTTCTAAGCTTATGCTGTTCTTGCAGCTCAGCTTCTAAACTTATGAACTGCTACATGGAAAAAGAACATTTACAGGCTTTTCTATATAATGAATAAACAGGAGTAATGCTCACACTGCCTTGCAGTTGTGCTTCCTGTATCCTTACCAGAATGCTCCCAGGCACCATTTCAGCTTGAAACCAACTAGTCATGTGCTAGACATTGCCTGACTCTGGCTCAAGGGATGCCACCAAGGATATAGGGGTGAGCAAAGAGAGTTTACCTGTATGAATGTACTCGGTCTGGCAAGCTTCTTTTCAGAGCCAGAAAATAGGTTGCAACACTGTTTGCTCTACTGGCATAGATGCAGCCAGAGGTCTGATCTTGAGAAATAATCTCCCATTTCTACCCACAGTCCCCAGGTTCCGAAATGTACTCGCATGAAGTGTGCGTAGGTTTTGGCAAAATTGAGAACGTAAGGTCTCTATTCATGATTCCTGAATGATCCACAACCTAAATAAGTCAATGGAGTGTTGTGGTATTTAGCTGTTCTTTGATTAGTTAATTTTGGACACCCCTGTCCTCATGAGAATAATCAGTTGGGAAATTAAATTATATCACAAAGTAATGAGACGATGATAACAGTAAAAAAAAAAAAAAAAAAAAAAAAAAGGCAATGGAAAAAAACTGGCAATGGTAGAACTGTTCCAGTGTTCTTTTATACAGGGTTTTAAAAAGTATGATACAGAGGAATGCATGGCTATGGGCTGAATACCAGGTTTATTCTTCTGTACGCTGTGACTATTTGATACTTTCCTGTTAAAAAAAGTCTAAGAAAGTCTAATATTTCAGGTGGCACCTTCCTAGAATGTAAATACATGCAAGAAATATGTTTGCAGTCTTTATTTTATTTTATGTCTGTCTCACAGGCTTGGGGAAGTTCCTTTTTGTCAGTAATGCCAAAACACTGAAGGGTAGTGAGATATGAGGTCAACACCAATGAAATACTCACTGACACTTGAAAAAATTATAAAAGATTTTCAGTTTGACTGACAGTTTTGATTTCCGTTTCAGTAATTTATTCTGCAATGTAAAGGCTAACATCTCAATCTTCATCTCCTTTAAAATGAAAGTTCCCCTGCTCAGATTTCTGCATTCATTACAGAAGGGAGAAACATGTATGGACCAAATCTTTTTCTATTAAAAAAACATGTATAGATTAGAAGATTTTTAGTGCTTCTCTACATGTCTACCTTACCTTTTAATTTAAAAGAAGTTGTCCAAATAATCACTGCCATGCACAATTATGGTAGGTAATGAATTATTAATGTAGTTATTTAAGGACAGATCTATATTTTTCTCTATAAAAATCTAGAGTAGATTTTCACCAAGTTGTGAGATTGGTAGAGGAAACAATAATGATAAATGATAAATAAAAATCATATTGAATGGGTAGAATGCAAGCTAAAACTGAGTAAGCATGAATAAATGTATTTTGGTAACACTAATACCTTAGCGGTCAACCTCCTTGAGAGACAGAACAGAAGTCCTTTGTATTGCAGATCATACAAATAGCCTTGTGGAGCACTTAGATGATATTATTTCAGCTTGCAATTTGTACCATAGGGAAAATAAAAATCTATATCTGCAAAGCTTTTAAAGTTGCTTCATCTCCTATCTAACCAGAGGTTTCCCAAGAACTAGGTGCTGTGCCTCCCACTCATTGTGGAAGTGGCTGTTACAGTCCTGCTTTGCACAGATTTGGCTACCCATATATAAAACGTAGCAGGAGCAGCTGCAGGTCGCTCTGACTTCAGCAGACACAGCAGGTGTTCAACACTTCTGAAAAGTAACATTGGACACCTCGATTTATGCCCAAGCTTGCAATAAAGGAAGAGAAGGATCACCACATTTGTTATCAGGAGTCACATTAGCCACCAGGTAATGCTTCTCTCTTTTTTAAGGCTTTTCCTTAATTTGGATAGAAACTTTTTTTTTTTTTTTGAGTAGAGTTTGTAGCTTTTTTGTAGGTGTGGAAGAGCATCCAATCTCAAATTAAATAAATAAGACTTATAAGACTTGAAGATAAGCAAGCCAGACTGTGTCAGCAAATACAGTTTTATTTATATATTTATTTATTTTGAGGACAATATGCCCTCATGTGCAAGACTGCAGATGACTGTGCAAGACTGTGGAAGAACAGCTAGCTGCAATTCCCAGAGGGAAGGAAGGCAGTGAGAGAACCAGGACTGATCCTGAGTCCACATCTACAAGAGGAAGCCCACAACCATTATTGCAATCCATGAAAACCATGTGCAAATTGGATCCCTAATTGTTATCACCACCTTTGGCCAAACAAACCCAGTGTTATTCATTTGTAGTAAGAGCAGAAAACTAGTGCTGTTTAAAATCTTGCCTTAAACTTGTAAACCTTTTAGTGCTCTCAACTCAAAAATACCGAACTAAGAGGCTTGTGATGGAG